ATTTATAACTCTTTACCCTTGAGGTACTCCGTACACATTGAAGCGATAATTTCTGATCTCCATAAACGGGCAGCTGCCGAGACTTGACATGAAAAGAAACGTATCACATACGGAGTACTACTTCGCAGTACGACACGGACGTGCAAGACATTGCTCAAACCTCGGGGAAAACGTCCAATACGGCATGTGTCACGAGTCAATGGCTTGTCTTACTTGTCTCGCTCAACAAGCCTCAGTAAGCTCATCACACGTGTAAGAGTCTATGTGAGTATCGTCAGACGCTAAGCGGCCCTTTTGATTATCCAGAGCAGGAGAAAGGCTGAGAAGCCGGTGAGCCATGACGCATCTTGGCCAAACGAAACTCCCATGTGCTAGTCTTCTCCCTTGTCAATCCGAATTCCACCCATTTTCACAAGAGTAGGGCACATGTGACTCTCCAAACACCACATCATCATCCTTCAACTGCGTCACTGACACGCGAACAATCCATGTTCGGTCCATCAAGCGAGGCAAACCGGCCAAATACAACTTGCTCACACACCAAGTCAGCAGATAAAATCGCACAGCGGCAGCATTTCTGTCAAAGTAGCATCAGACCGACAGCCGGCACACCCGCTCCAAACTGACAGCCAGCCACTTCCGACGCCATGTTTCTCATGCACACGGCAATAGTCATTCGGCATTCGGCATCCGGTTCGCATAAGCGATCCAACTCAAACCGAGCAGAAAGACAAAATGTGACAAGTGACAGGACATATAAATCCAGCAACCCCATCTTCAAGTCCCTCATTTCCATCAAGCTCAAACCCCTTCTCGACGTAATAATTTCCCAGTCTTGCTCCACGTCCCACCCACCCATGCAAATCATCACAAACATTCGACACACCGGCCATTCATGTCCACGGCCTCGCCGGCGTAGTCTGGCCTATTGAACGGGAGAATGCTGAGTCGAGTTTTTTTCTTGCATCGGTTCCCCTTGAAGCACGAACGATGATTGAGACTTGAGCGTACGCAATGGTTTCATTTGATCTGCCGCTGAACAATTGGCTAGTCGTGCAGCCGCCGTACATTGCCACATCCGCCATGGGTCTCGTTGCTGTATACTACCAAGTACATACACACCCAACTGTACAGTTGTTCCTTGCGACCGATAAAGACATGCGGTTAGATGCTGGCTGGGTAGCTGGCAGCCTGGTGCCGGGTATCACAAAGGAAGTTCTGTGCCCGTGGAGTTTGAGAATTTCGTCGAACCATACACGATACATGGTCACTTGCTGTGTTAAAAGCAAGTACTAGGCCAGATACTACATTCGGTGTCTCTGTACCTTCATTTTACATCGCAAAGGACAATGACATAAAGTTACTTCTAGACTATTAATAAACAATTACACAGAGAAAAGACGTCACTACAAATCACCGTCACCCATGGTATCATTCCCAATCTCCATCATTCTCATCGATCCTCCTGCCTCAGGCCACCATTTGGCAGCCACTACTAGTTGATTATCGCACCTGAATAGCCTGCTGCACCTTGGGGTACAGTCTGACCATCTCCTGGTACAGTTCTGGGTGGTCATTAATCATGACTTGCGGGTCCCAACCGGACGCGACAAATATTGTGTCAATGCCGCTCGAAATCGGTGTGGTGAAAATAAGCGCAATTTGGAAACCAATGAGGAATGCAAACGCCATAATGACGGCGGTAAAGCCCCCATCTCTGTTGTATGCTGGATTGGTGAATTCCAGGTACAGATAGGCGAACAGCGAAGTAGCAAAGGCGATAAACATGGCACCAAAGGAAAGAACGGGACCAATAAGACATTCCTAACAAACACACATCATGTTAGCGGGATGACGACGAGCTACAAGTAGCAATAATACATACGTTGATCAGCGCGTCAATGCCGCGATCCTTGATCATGTTCCAAGTGTCCTTGGCCGCAGGGATGTAGGCCTTGCCGTACAGTGCAATATGGCAGAAAGCATATCTGTTCAGGAACTGCAGGGCCCATTCGAGCAGAGCAATCAGACAGCCGAGAATGCAGAAAATGACATATCCAATCATGCCGCCGACACCGCCTTGGTCACCGGCCTGCTGCCTGGCAACGGAGCACAACTGACGGAGGAACTGAATAATAGCGACGAGCAAGCTACCCAAACTGATGGACCCGAAGCTGTAGGTAAGCGCACGCTTGGCGGATCCGCGCGTGGCACCCTTGGGAAAGTTGTGCACGCAGAAATACCAGGTGCCGTAGACACCAGAGATGATGGTGTGAATCGTGTTCTTGAGCCACTCAGAAATCCAATACATGGCAAAAGTGATAAAGACGACCAAGCCAATGACTGTGGCCTTGCTGCAGCCTGAGCCATCGGCGCCGCACTTGGGGTTATTAGCCGATGGTTCATACGTCACGTAGACGGCTGTCAAGGTGACGGAGAACCAGGCAGCAAATGCGGTAGCCAAGAGTCCACCGATCAAGGACACAAGATAGACATGGCCATATTTTTTGCTGACAGTGATGCTCGTCTTGAGCATCAGGGCGGAAAAGGGTATGCGAGAGATCCAGGTGTAGAAGGCAAAGGCCGTAAACAGTCCAAAGATGAGGAAAACAATGCCAGCGGACCAGTACTTTTTATAGAGATAATAGATGGCGGTTCCTATAGCCCAGCAAATGTTCAGAATGCCCGTGATCCAAATGAATTGCTTGGGGAAGATGCGCGCGACGGCGACGTAGCCCCAGGACAGGACGAAGGCAACGACGAGGCCCAAGGCGAAAAGGATGATGGTGTTATTATTCAGAGAAAAATTATTGGCGCCGCCGTAGATGCCGTTGCCACGTGAGCCGGTGACATAGCCTCGAATGGAAATGATTGAGACGGCGACGAAGCCGGCAAAGACGAGGATGAGCTGGGCAGCGGCCAAGTTAGCGACTTGGAAGTGATCAAAACGTGCGAGGACGCGTCGGGGCGTGTCAATGCGCGCCAATACTCACGAGGATTCCAGCCCAGAGATCATTCCACTTTGGTTTCTCGACCTTGAAGGCCTGATCGAAGGAGTAGTTGGGGTCATTGCCCTTGGGCGGGTTGAAACTGTACGGCGGCGGCGCGCCGTACTGATCTGGCGGCGGCGGCTGGTGATAACCGTTCTGATTCTGATCCTGCGACTGGTTGTAATAGCCCTGAGGCGGCGGCTGCTGGTATTGCTGCTGGTACTGCTGTTGTTGATATGGCTGCTGACCGTAGGACTGTTGCGGTTGACCGTAGGGCTGGCCATACTGTTGCTGGCCCCATTGCTGCGGTGGGCCTCGTTCGTTGCCACCGTTGGCGTAGCTGTCTGCCTCCCCCATGGTAACAACGTTCAACGACCGGTCAAGCTACACGAAATTGCTGCAAAGAAGATTCCGACTGAGAAGTTGGGCGAAGCGATTGCGCAGCAGGCCTGACGGACAAGAGGGAGGGAAAGGGGGAGAAGGGGGGGGGATTGTTTCGTGCAAAGTTCAAAAAGTCAAATCGAGCTGGGCGGTGCTGGTAATTTGTTGTCACAAAGTAGCACGAGCTAGAGACCAGTGATGGAATGAATGCCAAGCAAAAGCGTCTGGGCAGGTGGAGTGACGAGTGGCCCGTTGTTTCCCTCTCTTGGGCAACTTGCATCAGACTGGACCAGACTGGACCTGCATCAGGCGCTAATGGCCGCAATCTCTATCCGCGTCTGGTTTACCGTGTCCGAGTGATGAGGTCATTGCGTCATCGCGGCGCCCAACTTGAACTGCTGGAGATTCCACCTGGAGCTTCGACCACAATCGCCCTCGGCCCGGCACTCAGGTGCAGCGGCCCTCCTTTGTTTTCTCCAAACCATTCATGGCTGGCGATCGGAAGGGTGCCCACCGCTGGGTCGGCAGAGCGTTCTGGCCAATCAGGAATTGTAAAATCTCCACACACGGAGGGGCCCCAGCTCAACATGGGCTGGCTCCATTGTTGCAAAGAAGAAGATTGCAGGACGCTGTCGGCCCACTTTTCTGCTTCTAGGTCCGGACAATATCCGACCGACGGCTGTGCACCTCAAATTACCTTGATGAAACGGCAGCGTCTAGATGATACACCGGCGTTGTCAACTCATTATTGTATTCTTGCTACCAAAATCGTGGCACTTGATCGTCGCAATGGCCTGCCACCAGGGAAAAGGCACACCCGCTCCCACTCGGCCGAGTTTACACTCGTGTGGAGAAGTCGACACATCAATTCGATGTTGATGCAACTTGTCCATGATGGCTCATGGTATAAGCCACCGTTAAACTTGGATAAATTCGAATCATTTCTATAAAACTACGTGGGACCTACGGCCCCCGTACACCCCGCAGTTAGGTTGCCAGCGTAAGCTTATCAATCTTCTTCTCTGCAATGCAATCTATTTTTCGGTTAGTCACCCGGTTCTGTTACAACAAAAAACTCCATTTAACACTTTCTCTCTTCTCTCACGGCATCTTGAACGCTAAGACATCGTGGCTGCTATAATGTCCCAATAGGGGCTAGATAGTAACGGTCCCCAATGCTTGGGCTGTTAGATTATGGCCCAGCTGCAGACTGCAGGGTAGGTCACGGGATGGACCGGTTGACGGTGTAAGTGGTGAAAGCTCTCGACGTTGGATCACGTTAAACGACACAAGACCCGAGAGAACAGTAATTCGATTCCACCAACTACCCCCATAACATAGGCCATACAGGCACAGTACCCTTCTTTCTCTTAAATGGACTCTAGCTTCTTAGCTCTTAATCTCACAACCACTACAATAATCGCAAGCGCACACTTTTGGCTCGACCCAATCACCTGGTTACTGTCTACGACCCATCACACACATGACACCCAACAGCTCAGACTAAACGCCCCGAAATCTCTGCCAACATGAGCCGTCACCGGTTTATTTCCAGCCGCCCAGGGCCCTCACGGCCCTGCAGGTGTTTGCGCACTTGTCGCCCCTGGCAGGAGGCCTGGATAGGATGCACTAGAGTATCGATATCAGCTTTGTAGCAGCCACCGAGGTCACGACGTGCTTCAGACTCACCTTGCACTTCCCCCACGTGGCAACCGGAGGCTTGAGGTTCTTCTTCGGCGGATCCGGTCTCTTCTTCGGCTTCGGCTCCGCAACCTGGTCGTCGTCGCCGCGTATCCAACTATCAATAGGCGCGATCTGATTAATGAGCCAACCCAAAGGGGTGTACGACCACAACTTGTTGACCGACACGGCGACCGCCGTAGTCGTGGGTGTTCCCTTGGCTACCTCTTTCATAATGTTCTCATTAAACGCGCCAACGGGCGTGTATGACCATATCGTCACGACTTCGTTGATATTCTTGTTGGCGATTTCTAGCTTTTCCTCGGGAGTCTTTGCGTTGTGAATTTCCTTGGCAATAGGGGGTAGGTTCTTGACGACGTCGTGCCAGAACCCGGGCGGCGTTGCGTAACGGGCCGTCGCGAATATATCAAACGCAATATTCTTCAGAGTCTCAGCTGCCTTTTCGGCGCTTTCGAAATCAGCCCAGCGCTGCTTCATGGTCTCCGAGATGGCACGCTTCAGAGCCATTTCAATATCGGCAACTGTAATTTCGCCGTCCTCGATTGCCTTGATAAGGGGGCCAAAGGCTTCCGGGTCCAACTCGGAGAAGAAGTCGATGAATTTGCCGCCCTGGATGTTCAAGACTGAGGCTCCGACTTTTCCCTTGCCCTTGACTTTGCCCTTGTCACTGGGGCTGTTTGAGCTGCTTGGGCCGTAGTCGCATGCTACATCACGCTTCGAGCATGGGTTGCTGTTTGGGTACGTCTTGCCGGGCTTCTTTCTAGGCCCCTTGAGAGTGTCTTCCCTCCAATCCGAACTGCCTGGCTTGGGGTTGTGAAGCTCCGGCAAGCCGCCTATCATGTTCTTGATGGGGGCTTTGGGTCCGTCCTTGGGGGGCTTGAGCGACCCGGCCGGTCCCCAATCCTTCATGCCGTCCTTTATGGCATCAAGAATTTGCTTGCTCGGCGGCTCTGGACCCTGGGGCGCTCTGCCGCTGATTCGTAGCTGTGCGCAACTCAGCCCGAGAAGAGCAAGGTGGGTGATGGAAATCTTCATATTTGTTTGCGATTCTGGAGGCTGATGACAAGGAACCCGAGACTTGTCAAAGATGTCTGGTAGAATTATAATAGAACATTGAAGCAAGTAGGGGACTTGTATTAGTTTGTCTAGGCTGCCATGGCCGTTTTATGGTGAGGTGCACACCACGCAGCAGGAACTTTACGACGGAGTTTGCCTTGAGCGTGACTCGAGGCATTTCCGCAACGATTAATAATACTTATGCGCCTTTGTTGGCAAAATGTTAAGGTATGCCGGCAGTATCCCATAAATCCGAGTTAATATAACTAGTTATAGGTTTATTAATTAACTTATATTGGTATACTGCTCACGAGTCTCTGGTAGCATGAAGTAGTTATTTCGCTTGCTAGGCTCCCGAGATAAGGATGCTAATAATAGTAATAAACAACCAGGCTGGGGCCTTTTAAGCCCACATTCCCGGCATGTGAAACTACAAGTGCCGTACGACCTGACGCCGTTCTACAAGCATCTGCCAGCTTGCATGACTCGCTTGCCGCGACATTTCAGCTTCATAGACTTGAGTCTGTAATGTGCAGTAAAGCAGGTTTATAACGATATCGTGTCGAAGCGATTTAGCGTACACGCTTATCTCTTTTATATATATATATATATAAGTGATCTTTGTATATAAAATTATAATTATATACCACTTTACTCTCTTGGTAAATTTCTGACTAGCCTTATAATACGAGTCAGAAGCGGGTCCTTAAAATAGTAGTCGCTTAATAATATAATCCCTGTAGTGGGTTATAATATTAAAAAGTGCCAGAGACATTATCGTTATAGGCCTGGTTTAATGTATTCCCGCGGTATTGCCTGGGCTCATAGTCGTCTTTGCATGATTACATGCATCAGGGCTTAAATGGAATTATTGTAAAGCGCCATCGGAGATGTGGGAGTGATGGGGCTTCTTCCCGACTCGGCTCGGGTCAATGCCAAGTAAATCAATTGACTCAGGAGGTATAGTTGCATGTGGCCATAATTATTCCCGACTCCGACGTGCCAACGGCGGCCAGTAAAGCTGAGCTGCTCTAGCATAGCATTTTCTATTCTCCCCTCCCTCTTTCTACATGTATATAAACTCCAGATGTGCTTTACAAGATGTGGTTGCCTTGGCTTCCATCAAATCCCAGCTACATCCTCGGCTACATACCCTTCTGCCCATTATTGATTCCATACAAAACACAGCACAACTATATATCAAGAAACACCTTGGTAGCCATCATGAAAATCTTCACCATCCTCGCCGTCCCCTCTATCCTAGCCACAGCCACGCCCCTTTCCTCCCGTCAAGAGGCGGGAATCGCAGCCGACACTAATACAATTCCAACTCTGGGCGCCAGCTTTTGCATTGGTTTCACTAGGCCAGAGTGTAAGGGGGCCGTTGGAAAGTGCTCGGACGAGGACAAAGTCATTGCAGATTGCATTCGCGATGAGCACCCGGCATGCATCACGGACCAAAACTCACCTTGCCCTAGTGGCACGATGAGCCCCGAACAAGTTGTCGCATGCAAGGAGGCTAGCAAGGGCTATGGCGTGGCCACGTTCGTCAACAACTGTAAAGAAGAAAATGAGGTGGACGAAAGCGATGCTTGCAAGACGGTGGAGACTACTTTTGGAGAGGCCTGGGATGCAAACAACTGCGAGGCAGCATTCGGTCCCGACGAGGGAGGTGACCAAGTTGAGTTGGCTGATGAGGGCGAGCAGTAGATAAGAACCACAAAGTCTGGAGGATGCACTCGAGTTCCATTTTGAGTCAAACTCGGCCAACAGTTCGTGCATGGTGAGGTTTTGATGCCCCGATGCCCGAACTACTGCACTGTTGGCAATGAAAAATACATCAATCGATAGATGTCAACGCGTTTAGTTAATCGGTTCATTTGACTGTATCTTGAATGAACAAATTGGAAACCTACTGTAGCCCGAAGCCGGCTTTTGCACTCGTGTGATGTTCACGCCCAACGACCTACCATCTGACGCTGTTACACGGAAATAGCGTTGGTTACACAAGGGCTACGGTCACGGGATTAGGACAGAAGGTCCTCACCGACTTCTTGTATAAATAGACGGCTTCGGTCCCTCAAGGCCTTAAGGAAAACCAAGGACCTTTGATACCAAAGACTGTTATTAGATGAATTGAGTAAATTGCTCCAAGCCCTCTACTGAGCCCTTGTCACAGACGCTGACGTATAAGCGTTTCAAGGGGAACGTTCCAGTCCCGGGAACGAGCCAAACCCCAAATAGACTCGACAAGACTCAACAAAGGCGCCGCTAATTTTAAAACTGCGTCCCTATGCATTTCTGACTCACGTGCAGTTTGTAGCACCAGACCCCAATTTCCCAGATACTTCCAAACTCGGGCCGCAACATATCCAGTAACGAGAAAAATCATGAGCTTCAAGGATAGCCCACGGCGCATGTTCATAGAATTCCTGGAAAAAACCAGTGTTCCTATATTCCCGCCAGCTCAACGATGCACAACTGATTTGAGAAACACAAACTGCGAAACAGAAGGCAAGCAAATACTAGCATCGGGCTCCGATATGTGTAGAGTGATACACGCCTACCCAATTATCATGACACATACGTCTTTCTTCAAGGCCTCCTACGATGGCGATTGGCTGCGTTTCGATCAAAAGACAATGTCGTGGCGGGAGCAACAGCAACAGCACGGACAAAGAGTCAAATGGGATGTACAGACATCAGGGCACTGCCTTCTGTACAAGACCTGAAATCACTAATCCATTATTCTAGGTTGCACGTTCGTGTACCAGGGGTCGGGCTACTCATTCGCCTCTCAGCAGACCCGGATCATCTAAACCTTTTGCAGAAGACCTTCTTAACCTACCACCGAGTGAGACACATATTATCGCGATTTAACCACACCAAGCAAAAGGGAATCCCACTAGTGCCTGTTATAGTTGAACCTTTATACCTCTTCGTTGTAGATGCCCTGTATTGAACCCGCTGTATCACATCCATGTTCATCATCTGCGGTAGCGAAGCGGTATCACAACTATCTAGAGAGTACTTGACGTATTTCCAAATCGTTGTCTGAAACTAAAACTGTCTCTTATGCAGCAACAGCCGTTTCCTAAGCCACTGCGGTGCAAATGGCAAGTACCAGTTGCCATACCGGGTAAGCCATTTTGGATCACAAAGCCATCAACCCGGGCACTGATCCACGGTGTTCCAGGAAAATCGCATCATGCAATGCAACACGTACCGCCGTCGTTGTCCCGAACCGTAAGCGAAGCCTCACTCGCAACGTGTCCCGAGCTCCTGCGCATAGCAAAACCAAGACGACAGATATGTAGACTTGACAAACCCGTGACGGCCAGAGAACCATGTGCGGTCGAGCCGTGACTAAACGTCGCGTCATACAAGAGCAACCGGGTCGAAACGGCACGGTTGCACAACAGGCGGGCCATGCCAAACTACCCATCTCCAACATGCAAGACACCGTCGACGTCTGGTGGAACAAGACACACTAGTAGGCGCCGTCATCTTGCACCAATATCCATGCAACTTCCCGCAACCAATTCACCACCACCCTAGGCTTATTCATTCGTCTTCGCCATCCCACAGATCGGCCGCGGAGACACATCGGCGTTGGAAGAGCGGAGCCGTCGCCCGTGCCGCGCATGTCGAATCGCGGGGAAGTTTCCGGCCGGCATTGCTACTCTACTTCCCCGTTGATATCCGGCCCCCCTGAAGCTGGCGCTGAAGCGAATGGCATCGGGCCGGACGTTTGAATGCGCGACGAGGCAACGGGCTGGGTGTCGGCGCGCCCAAGTTTGTGCGAGCCGTTGAGCGCTGGCAACACGGCGGCTTTTGGAATGCAAGATGGAAATACATTGACGTCATGCGGCATGTGGGCTGCGTCAGAGACAATGGCCTTTTGAATCATGAGCCCGTTTTATAACCTCTGGCACCAGACGGCTTTGGTGCTACAGAAGCAAAGTTCTGGGGATATCTGGGGTATCTGAGAGTTGGCCTGGATGGACAAGGACCGGTGTCGGGCGATTGGCTGCGGCATGGCATGACAGGATAATTGGATAGCTTTGTTTCTCCACAGGTAGTACGAAGAGTCCCATGTTTGCATTAGGCGATAATAATCACTCTGCAGGCTAGATCGTGCATCGTGACTGAGACGTGGGCCGCGGGCTGGGGCTTTGTTTGCCTGCCATCTGCTCACCGTGACCCCCCTTGGAGGACCAGTCGACGATGCCTCGCTGATGTGAATAATCTTGGGCTGGCGTGTCGCCCGCCGTGGCATTGGGCGGCCAGGGCTAAGCGGTCGTGCGTGTGGTTGATGGCTAAAGGATCACACATCTGGCGGCGGCAGCTGTGGCGGATTTGAAGACGCGCAGGAACAAAAAAGCGCAGGCATGTTATCGCAGCCAACAAATCGAATGACTCGCCCCCCAAGCGTCCTGGTCGCTGGGCTACATGTAACTGACACACAGAATCTGCGACTGCGCGGCAACGGACGACGATGGAAGAGCTCGGTCTGTTTTACCCACAAAAGCGCGGGCAAACCTTGGCAGGGCCATAATCAAATCGAGCCCCGAATTTCCGAGTCTTATCTCGTCGTCCGACGGATGAAGGTGCAGACATGCGCGAGTATGGAGACGCGAGTGCGCTTTGCACCTCGAACGGCTTGTTGCGGGTTTCCACCAGAACCAAGAAAGATTTGCTTTCCAACTTTTTTTTTTTTTTTTTTCACCAGGACTTCTCGGCCATGTGGCGCTTGGCGTGCTTCATGATGCGAGCGCAAAATTTTCTGCTTTCCCTTCTAGTCACTTTCCTCGGGCAAGGGCGAGCTTTGATTGGCAAGGCCTCACGGCAGCGACGCCGCCGCCATGGCAATTGATCTGTGGTGTGGCAGCCTTCAGCGGACCGGCATCACCGAGCCACGGGCGATTCTGCCCACACAGCCTTGAGAACTTTGCAAACATTGAACACTGACCGACCAGTGACGCCTGACCATCTTCGGCCCCTGTAGATTGTGCTGATGCACCCGGCCATCGGCTGCTTGGCTGCATGGGTGGTGCGGGTGGCGGCGCTAACGAGTTTCCCTGCAGCCTTCTTTGCACATTCCTCCTCCTCCTCGACTCTGTGCATCAACAAGACAATGCGCCCGGTGCCGGCCAGCAAAGGTGACTCTGACTGTCCGCCCCAGACATGGGCCTCAATGTCTCTGCTGTTTCCGCCCACGCTGCCCACGTGGAGTTGTTAGTCAATTGCATCGTAAACGGACAAATTTTGCCTATCGGATGGGGCCAGATGGGGCGGTTGCTGATAGACGGTGCTCTAGAAGCTGTTCCTTTTGCAACTGTGCTAGGATCCAGAAGGGTCTCTGGCATGGGCATGGGCGTGGCTGATATGTAACTTTTTGCCTGCCTCGTCTCGTGCTAGTCATGCCACGCCGTTTGTATAATAAAGACCGATGACCCGTCCATGAGAGGACTCACCTGCCCGCACCACAACATTCGCCCACCCTTCCCATTGTCGATATTCGCCGTCGTCCATTCTTGTGCTGCCTGCTGCTCTGTCGTCGGTCGTCGGTCGTCTGTCGTCTGTCGTCAATTGCTTGCCTACCAACCTGGTCCCCCGTGCGCTTCCATCCTGGCGCGGCCCATTGCCTTCCCTTCGCACCCCTTGGCATCGGGCGAAAATTCTTCTCTCTCCCAGCTAACCTGAGTAATTTCTTTCCCCAACGCCGCCCCCTACCTGGCAAGTCGACGGTGGAACACGCAGAGACAGACACGAGGCATACCATTCTCCCTTGGAATCGATTCAACAGATTTCGAGGTAGACACCGGCCACGACAATGGCCGACGAAAAGACCCCGCGAGCCAGCAATGAGCCGGCGACGGAGAAGAAGGGCGCAGAGGATGTAGAGGCGGGCCAGTCGGGCCTGACGCGATCTTTGCAGGGTCGTCATTTGCAGTTCATCGCCATTGGTGCTACCTTTGGCACTGGCTTGTTCCTCGGAACCGGTGCTGCCCTAGCCAAGGCCGGTCCGGCTTCGCTACTCATCGGCTTCGTCTTCATTGGTCTCGTCGTTTACTCCGTCATGGTTGCCCTCGGTGAGATGGCTGCCTACATGCCTGTTGCTGGTGCCTTCACTGTCTATGCGAGCCGCTTTGTTGATCCTACCTTGGGCTTTGCCATGGGCTGGATCTACTGGTTCAGCTGGTCCATTACCTTTGGTCTCGAACTTACAGCTGCCGGTCTCATCATCCAATACTGGACGCAGGCTGTCAACATTGGTGTCTGGATTGCCATCTTCTGGGTCATCTTCACTGCTGTCAACTTCTTCCCCGTCAGGTACTTTGGTGAGATGGAAATGTGGTTCTCTAGCATCAAGGTCGTGACCGTGATTGGTTTCATCATCTTCGGCATGTGTATTAATGCCGGCGCTGGAGACCAGGGCTATATTGGCTTCAGGTACTGGACGTATCCTGGTGCCTTTGCAGAGTACGTCGTGTCGGGCGCCTCTGGCAAGTTTGTCGGCTTCTGGTCCGTCCTGATCACGGCTGGCTTCAGCTACCAGGGATCCGAGCTTGTCGGTATTGGTGCTGGCGAGACCGAGAATCCTCGCAAGGCCATTCCCCAGGCTATACGGTGGACTTTCTGGGGCAATTTCGTCCTCTTCGTTGGCACCGTCTTCTTCATCGGAATCAACATTCCCTATGACAACGCCGACTTGCAGAGCACGGCTCAGAATGCCTCTGCCTCGCCTCTCGTCATTGTTGCCAAGCTTGCCGGCGTCCAGGTCCTTCCCGATATCATCAATGCCGTCTTGTTGACTGCCGTGCTTTCGGCCGCTAGCTCCGACGTTTATTCCAGCACTCGCATTTTGTACGCCCTTGCTGACGAAGGCCTGGCCCCGGCCGTCTTCAAGAGGACCAACCGATACGGCACCCCGTACTGGTCCGTCGCCTTCTGCTCACTGCTCGGTTTGCTCGCCTTCCTCAACTTGTCGCAGAGTGGCGAGACTGTTTTTACCTGGCTCTTGAACATCACAGCTGTTGCTGGTTTTATCGTATGGGCTCTCATCAACGCCTGCCATTTGCGTTTCATGAAGGTTCTTCAAAGTCGCGGACAGCCTCGCTCGTCGCTACCCTATGTTGCTCCATTCCAGCCTTATTTGTCCTGGTTCGGTCTGTTCTTCAACATTTTGATCCTCTTGACCAGTGGATTCACCGTCTTCATCAAGTGGAACACGAGCGACTTTTTTGTCAATTACGTCAGTATCCTGCTCTTCATTGTCTTGTACCTTGGTCACAAGGTTGTGTTCCGCACCAAGATGATCAAGATTGAGGATATTGACCTCACTATGGGGCGTACCGAGATTTAAGGTGCGAGTATTGTGGTGGCCTCTTGTGGATGGCGTTTTTTTGCATGCATGCATGGCGATTGTGTTTTGTGAAAGTTCATCAGCATCAAGTCATAATCAGACTTATATATAGTAATGATACCCGTTTATGGAGTAATGGACTAATGGCTGACTGGCCACCTTGGTCATGATCCTATCATGTGCGGGAAATCGTGATTAATTTCTAGGTTCAATGAACCGTCTTTGGGACTCGAGAAATGCGACAGGCACGACAGTCGGCCGCTATTGAGCGAGACACTTGCGGTATTGTCTACGCCATTCATCTCCACGATTGGGATGCCATCAAAACCGGCCAGGGTCTTGTTGCCTAGAGCAAATTTTATGCCCAAGCTCTCCTACCGCCAAGTGAACGCAGAACAACTCGACGTCCCTAAGATCAGTCTTCAACCCAAGACTTCAGATAACCGTTTAAGCTGAAGCGTCCTGCGATAAAATACTTGTGCTGAGAAAAGCCACAGGCATGGGTCAATGGCTGGCGAAACTGTGGGGAAGCCCAAGTCTTCGCGGTTGGCTCGATTACTCGACCATAATGCATGTAGTTATTTCTTTGCCTTGATGAAGCGAAGGCGTCCGGCACACAGGTGTCAGCCAGCCTGCTTGTAATACAAGCACTCTGCGCGGAGTACACTTGGCGCTCATGAAATCGCAATTACTGCAATCTGTCCACCGACCGGACAAGATGTATCCACGCTCAATTTCACTCAGCACTTGCTGCCTAGTCGAAATCTCATTGCCAATTGTCAATGGGCTAGGGAGTAAAGGCCTGTTCCCTTCTGTGCCACGAATACTTTCACATGTCAAAACGTGTCTGTGTTGCTTCATGTCCAACAATCTCCAAATGTCGACAGGGGTTCGTTTTTTGTTGGGGGTTCATGCCTTCTCAGAGACGCTAAGCCAGAAGCGGTAATGGGCCATCGAAATGTCAACCCAGTCCCTCGATTACCGTTTGCAGCGCGGGGGTGAGGAGTTGTCGGCTATGCAGACTAAAGTGCAGACTGAACAGAAATAATCATTCGAACACCTATGCGCCCTGACAAGAAGTTTCAGACTTCATGTCGTCATTGTCATTGGGACCTTCTCCCCATGGGGAGGGGAAGCTGACACAGGACGACTCGTGGCGGGTACCCAAAAAACGCCACTAGACTACGACCAAGCAGCAAGGGAGCAACATGACATGCAATGTCAGCCATGCCCCAATTACGAGGGGTCCCAGGGCAAGGGGGAAGGGGCAGATAGCCGTAATTCTTTCACCGCCATCCTGATTGAGCGAGGCGTCGTGTGACCGCTTGCTCTTTTCGTCTTGTGGCGTGGGCAGCAATGATTGTTGAGTTCGACATAATCGGCTTCAGACCGACGTCCCGTACCAGTAAGTCTAGACTTGATGAGACTAGGAAAAGTGGACGCATGCCAGACCGAACCCCAAATCGAACGCTCCTAGACATGATAGGCTCTTCGGTGCCCCCCCTCGTCATATTCACATGGGTTTCTGACTGTCGCGTTGACTGAAGTAGTTTTCACCGCTCGTATAAAGCTGTCGCGTGTCCCATTGCCACCTACGGTCTGTCTGCCCTCCACTCTTGACACTGTCTCTGTCCAATGTGATGCATCGTGTCGGCCACGGGGTTGTTTATGAGACTGTGTGCTGCCTTGATTCTCTCATTGCAGAACAGGACCCAATCCTTGCGACCGTGAGTGCGTCCCTGAGAAGCACCAGAAACTGCCCCGTCGTGACCTGTGTTACTCCTGAACAACCCCCAACGGTATTTGCACCGACTGACATGTCCAACTAGACAGACGCCTAGGGCAGGCATAGAGTGCAGTTCATTCAATTTTGAGGCCGAAAACCTCTCACTCTGAAATCAGTTTCGTCACTCATTTCCTTTCGTCGGTACCGAATAACATCTGTTGGCAGTTCCGCGAAATGTCCATCATCGACACCACTAGGGACCTGGCAGCGCTCTTTGAGCAGCAAGCCCAGGCCACTCCCCAAGCGATCGCACTCGAAGATGAAAAGCGGACTCTCACATACGCAGAACTCGATAGCGAAACATGGGCGCTGGCGGACCGCCTCCGCCAATATGGCGTCGGCCGAGATTGCTTAGTTGGCGTGCTCATGAATCGCAGCGCTGACAACGTCGTTGCCTCTCTGGCAGCGCTTCGTGCTGGTGGCGCATATCTAGTTCTTGAATTGGCGTATCCTGCTGCCTTGTTGCGCGATGTCATTGACGACGCTATGCCAACCGTCATTGTGACGCAAAAGGCCCATGCCAGCAATCTTAATGTCGACATCCCCGTCATTATCATTGACCAGCCAGATATGACAGTTGGCGCAAACGAGCCCATCTTAGTGGAGCCTAAGCCCCCATTGCCGGCAGAAGATGATCTTGACCGGCTCGCATTTGTATCATACTCGTCAGGTACGACTGGCAAGCCCAAGGGCATTGCGAATCCGCACAGAGCCTCTGTCTGCTCATACAATCTGAGATTTGGTCTTAGCGATTTGAAACCTGGTGACAGAGTGGCCTGCAATGTCTTCTTCACCTGGGAAATGCTTCGGCCGCTCCTCCGCGGAGCGACCACAGTCGCTGTCCCAGATAGTGTGAGCTACGATCCAGAGGGTCTGGTAGAATTCCTCGCAGCTCGAAAAATCACCGACACATTGATGACCCCGACCCTCCTTGCCACAGTTTTAACGCGCCATTCATCCCTCGCCGATACCCTTCCTCATCTGAAATCACTCTGGCTTAATGGTGAGGTTGTGACGACGGACCTCTGTCGTCGGGCTTTCACTGCGCTTCCCGCTGTTCGACTTCTTAACGTGTACAGCGCCAGCGAGACACACGAGGTTGCGGCGGGTGATATAAAATCCTTTATTGACTACGAGGCAAGAGTATGCCCTGTCGGTCCGCCAATGGATCCCTCGACCATATACATCCTCGACGACGCCGGCAACAGGGTCGATATAGGTACAAGTGGTGAATTGTATGTTGGTGGCGACATGCTAGCCAGAGGGTACCTCAACCTTCCGGAGACTACAGCCAAAGCCTTCCAAATTGATCCATTCTCGACCGGTCTAGATGCCAGAATGTATCGAACCGGAGATATGGCCAGGATGCTCCCTTCTGGCCTCCTCGAAATTACCGGTAGAGTAGGTGGAATGATCAAGACTCGAGGATACACCGTCCAGCCTGGAGCCGTTGAGACAACAATTGTAAAGCACTTGGCGGTTCGAGCTTGCGCCGTGGTTGCTCGTGGCGATGGCCTAGACAAGCAATTGGTGGCTTATGTTGTCCCCGACAAGGGCGAGATTCGCAATCGAACCGTTTTGGTGGTGGATGAGTCCGGTTACAGTCCTGTCGCTCGTCGAGCACTTTCTGACCATCTTGCTCACTACATGATTCCCACTCTGTGGGTTGAACTTGAGACGCTACCCACGAATGGCGTCTCAGGAAAGACGGATCTCAAAGCCCTGCCTCCTCCACCGTCGCCAAAGACCCCAAATATCAATGCTAAAAAGGAGCATGATACGAGAATCAAAATGGACACCATCATCAAAATGTGGGCGTTATCTCTCAACATTCCTGCAACTGCCATTTCCCAGAGCCATACATTTTTTGACTTGGGTGGCCACTCTTTAACTTTGGCTGACTTGGCTGGCCGTTTGACGAGAACATTTGGTTTCCCAATTCCTCTTGCACCCCTCGCCGGTACGCCAACCCTAGAGGGTCATATGGAAGCGGTACAAGCTGCGCGAGATGGCCATACAGCTGCCGTACAAGCCGACCTTCCCGCCGTGCTACTGGCCGACTCGGCTCTGCCCGATGACATCAAATCCAATGGCAAGCCTATGTGCCGTCTTGGTGATGCGGAGACTATACTTCTTACTGGTGCGACGGGGTATTTGGGCGCCTTCCTTCTGAAGTCTCTTCTGGAAAGCACCTCAGCTCAAATCCTTTGCCTCATTCGCTTCACAGACCCAAACATCGACTGTCGTCCAGCTGGTATTGCACGTATTCGAAAGAATTTGATTGATCAGGGAATATGGAATGACGCTATGCTTGAGAGAATGGAAGTTGTACCCGGTAATTTGGCTCGTAACCGCCTTGGTCTTTCCCCGGAAGCTTTCCAGGACCTTGCTTCACGCGTTGATGTTATTGTCCACGCGGCTGCCACTGTCAATTTGGTTTACCCCTACGCCGCCCTGCGAAATGCCAATGTTGGAGGGACTCGCGAGGTTTTGCGGCTTGCCTCTCGTGGTGGCGCCACTGTCCACCACGTATCGACCAACGGTGTCTTGCCGCCCTCGAAAACTGCCTGGACAGAGGAAGCCATGCTGGATATAGATGATGTACCGACAAAACTGCCTGATGGGTACGGTCAAACCAAATGGGTTGCTGAGATGTTGGTGTACGAGGCTGGCCGACGAGGCATGCATGTCAAAGTGTATCGACCTGGTACCATCAGTGGTCATAGCCTTACTGGCGCGACCAACACGTACGATCTTTTGAATGCGTTGATTGTTGAATCTTTGCATCTGGGATACGCCCCCAAGGTCGATGGTTGGCTGGCAGAGATGACACCCGTAGACTTTGTTAGTCAGGCCATTGTCACCCTGGCTAATCACCCTTGCACAAAGCAGAAGCTGTATCATTTGGGCGACCCAGATCCTGTGACTGCCGAAAATGTATTCCAGGATCTTGAGGCCCTCGGATATCCTACCAAACGACTTCCTTGGGACGACTGGGTAGCCTTATGGAAGGAGAAGCGTGGGTCCGGACGAGGTGGCGATGATCCCTTTACTGTTGACATTCTTCGTGGTGGTATGCCTACAGTCGACACACTCGAATTGGTCACTATACTGAGTGACGGGGCTACTCAGCCAGCTTTGGATTTGTATGGTGTTTCACGACCCAAGATCGACAGAAATTTGTGGGAAACATACGCGCGACACTTCTTTGCCCGTGGCTGGCTCCCACGCCCGCCACTGCGTCTAAAGTTAAATGGTGTGCACCCTCATCCCAAGAAGGGTCGCCTGTCAGGCTGCGTAGCCGTTATTACCGGAGCGTCCTCAGGTATTGGTGCCGCTGTTGCTGCTAAGCTGGCTGGCGAGGGCGCTCACATTGCTCTCGCAGCTCGCCGAATCGATGAGCTCGAAAAGGTCAAGACGAAATTATCCACCTGCAGTGGCAAGATTTTGGTCCATAAGACGGATGTTACCAGCAAGGCACAAGTCGAGTCTCTCATGAAGACCGCTACAGAGAAGCTTGGGCCCATCGACATTCTGGTCAGCTGCGCTGGTGTCATGTATTTCACCATGATGGCCAACTGTCAGACGGAGGAATGGGAACGCACCGTCGACATTAACTGCAAGGGGCTGCTGCACTGCCTTTCGTCAACAGTCCCCGGTTTCCTGGAGCGAAAGCGTGGCCACATTGTTGCCATCTCATCGGATGCCGGCCGCAAGGTCTTCCCTGGCCTCGGTGTGTATTCTGCCAGTAAATTCTTTGTTGAGGCTACCCTGCAAAGTCTGCGGCTGGAGACTGTCGGCTCAGGTCTCCGTGTCACCGCTATTCAGCCAGGGAACGTTGATACTGGCTTGTTGAACATTTCCACAGATGCCGAGGCTCTGAAGAAGTATGGCGAGCCCACCGGGGCCAAGGTGCTGGATGCTGAGGACGTCGCGGGTGCTATTTTGTATGCTGTTACTCAACCGGAGCATGTCGCCGTGAACGAGGTTCTTATTGAGCCCAGAGACGAGCCAATCTAATCCTGTAATTAGCATATTTTGATGAATGAGGGAGGATAAGAATTTCGGGAAACCATGTTATACATTACGACACTTGTAATATCAATTCACACGTATTTGTTGTTTTCTGCTCAATGTCATGTGTGCCGTGCTCAACGGAAAACATTTTTTGATGGGACACTGAATGTCAAACATGTCAATCTACGTCGCTCCTTCCTTCTCTGCCCCTAGTTCTTGGGTAGGATCACTCGAACCCAGACAGCTTGGGTGGGAATTGGTCAGTATATCGCGTCACATGATTCTGCACCATGCACAAGTCCTCAAGGAATGGTATTGCCATTACGATTGGCACCTATTGTGCAAGAGAAGCTGTATCCATGAATAAAATAAAACGCCCTGCTGTCCGGAAAAGAGATCTACGAGCAGCACGGTAAAACAGCCAATGAGATATCTGCCCTGTTAATCATCCGTTTCTTCATCCATGTCCACGTCATCATGCCGCTCCAGGGCCTCCAAGTCGCCCGCGCTCAAGTTATAAATGCCCTCTGTTTCTGCCAATCGCTGCGCTCGTCTCGTAGCGATTAATTTTTTATCTGGCTTTAGCACACCATATAGTTCCGGCACCACAAGGACACAAGAAGTCGCGGCTCCGCTGTGAGACATCATTGGCTTCAGCATAGCAAGCTGTCGCCCCGCCATTTGCCAGGGAAAAGAAGTCTTAAGTTTTTTGAATGCAAAAGAGGCTTTGAGTAGCTCCCACAAGGTTGACTGGCGATCCGCCATGTAAGGCTGAAGAAGAAGGTTAACCAAGTCGGAGGAACTCTCGGTTGGTAGTGGTTGAATTTGACGCCATTGCTGGTAAATTGACCCGACAACGGCAGCATACTCTTTATTCTTATTGATCGTATTTCTCCATACCTTGGCAACAGACTCAATGTCTTCCTTGAGCGCATTCTTAACATTGCGCCACGTAGCCTGATTCTCATCGTTACTCTCCTCCTCATAGTATTCATCATACTGATTGAACATTATTGTTAGCTGCTCATCGTAATAGCAAGCTTTGTAGCCTTTAAGAGTTGTTTCCAACTCCGTAAGAGCCTCTGCAACTGTTCTTTCCGCAACCACGTGCTTTAAATAATCGAGGATATGCGGGTTCGCCTGCTTAGAAATATTATAAGATGCGCGTTCTAGCTTATACTCTGGATCATGTTCAAGCATCCGTATCTGCAGGTCCTGACGCAATTGGTGCCAATCAGAATTTGTAAAAATATATCCTTGTTTTGGCTGATCGACCAGACATCCTAACAGCCTGCTTAATATGAGAATATTCTTGCTTGAGATGCTTCTGGTATGATAGGAATAGCGCTCTTTATAGTCGGTACATTTTCCAAGGATAGATTGTTGCATGTTGAAAGCGAGTGACTCACGAAGGAACTTGGAGCACACGGCCTCGTCACCAGTCTCTTCTTGACGAATTTGAGCCATTGACCTGTTCAGCTTTCTTAAATGGCCTAACTTCTCAGGATCTGTGTCATCGTTTGGCACAGCTGCATTGCGGAAATTTTGGACAATCTCTTGGTCCCAGCAGACCCAGGCTCGATCTCCGTCAAAATCCCCACCGGACAGTTTATCAGCAAGAGATGACCGACCCTTTATCGAGAAGACAATAACATTCTTCAAATGTCTTAGTTGGGGTCTCGAGACAACTTTTACCCGTTGAATGTCGCTCGGCAGGTGGCTTGGCGCTCTGGCTACAAGCACATCCATTTCCTCCAAAAGTGTGTCGCAGAAACCATCGACCTGGAATTTTGTGGAAAAGGACACATGAACTTCATCCTCTTCTAGTGTTGATGAGAAGTCAACAACCATGAGAAGGTAGGCAGAACAGGGAACGCAAATATTCATCTTTGCTTTCAGGGTTTTTGTTCGTGTCGTTACAGTCTCCCAAAAGCGGTCCTGTAGATACTTGCAGCTTTTCGGGTGAAAACCAGAATCTAAGAGGAAAGCCATCTCCTTCTCCTTGTCTCGCGGAAGACCGCCCAGAAAAGCCATACCATTATCGGGTCCTTCTGGTTTTGACCCGCCACCTTGCTGTAACCAGAGTCTCATCTCCACGGGGTCTTCTAAGGCAAGCTTTTGTGCAGCAAGTTCTTCTAATAGCCCACGACGCAGATGGGCTGAAATAGAATTTCGCATCTTAGCTGGGTTGATGGCCTGAGCCTCCAGGACTGGTATGAACTGTTGATTCAATGACGCAGGCCTGGGCTCTTTTGGCCATTCCTTGACCTCGAAAGTGCGATGGTGGCTGTCCTCATGATCACATTCCCATTTTACTTGAGATGCATACGTCACAATCCAGTCTCCGTCTCCGAGGGTTGGGTCGCTATCGATAATCCACATGCCTTTTGCACTGCCCAACCGTGCCTGGAAAGCACATGGAATGTCTGTGAGGCCCAGCTTGGAGGCGATCTTGGTCGCGAGCGCTTTCGATATCCTGCCTATGCCGTCGTTCATTGTGCTATGAGTCCCAATGTCATAGTCCAAGCTATGGATTTGATGTTTTTCGAGGACAACGGTGGCATGAGTGTGAGTAAGACCTGGAATAACTGTCAGCTTGTGACAGTCGAGGAACGACAGATGAATTTGTCGGTTGGCTCCTACTTAGAGTAATTCTGGAAAACAGTTTAGGGACCTGTTGGTTTGTCGTACTGAGACCCCCAATTGCCCAGTCCATTAACTTGTGAACCGGCATTTTGGTTCTTATACCCGGAGTATTGGCTTGCGCGATTGGCGGCAATGAGCCATCAGGGCATCCCTCGAAACTATCCCCGTCTGAAGCAAAAAAGAATACCCTGGCCTGCGGTACCGCTGGAGCATCCTTGCGGGCCCCTTTCCTCCTTGTTGCCGGTCTACAGCAGAATGCAGTCCATCGCCGCCCGAGAAAATAATGCTTCTCTGTTAACCAACTAATAATTGCATCCGTTGAGACGTTGTCATTTTTGGACTTTGCAGCCTTTTGCACGAGATCGGGATACGGCATCAGTATTTCCAGAAACCTATCAGCTCCAAATCGACGACTCAAACGGTGGCTTTGCTCGAGACGTAATGGATGAAGCTTGAGTGAGAACAGCGGACCAGTTGAGCTGCGATTCAACACTAGCTCTGCGGATAGCATTACTGCATAAGTTGTTGACTGAAACCCTTTTAGGGCAAGATCCCAAGCATCATGGCTACTAAGTTGTGGCATGCTCTTCGCGTGGAATGTCGGTAGTTGCGAAAGCGCATTACGCAGGTTAGACTGGGTGCTCCATTGAGATATATCGTCGTATCGCACATCACATTCAGTCAATTCTACTCCGCAGTGAAGACCAATACGCGTTATTTCCCAGATTACGGCAAGTGGCGCGCCATTGAACGTTTCATTCAGAAACCCAGCTACGAAAATTGTGGCCGATTAGCGATGGTAACAAACAGAGCAGATTTCGTCATGTACATTTACTTACGCCAAACCCCTTTGAGCCTCGTGTCCAAAGTTTCGGGGGGGATATACGCATCTGCAACCTCTTTTTCCGAGTCGTATGGCGACTCTTGACTGGTGAAGTAATCGGAGCCGCTATCGTCAAGTGGCGAGTTACACCCCGATGCCGTTGAGAATGATGTATTTTGGGATGTAGTGTACGCAGAAAATGATGTGGCTATCCCAACAGGTCGTGGGAAAAGTGACGACTTTTTTTGTGTCCCGAACGGCCCCAACACTGACGCCGGGCTCGAGGCTTGAGTTTTCGGGGTCGATCTCAAAGGAATTGAATCGATGGCACTGTTCACCTTTTCCTTCTGTTTGTCTTCTATGCTCTTGGCTCGTTTCGACATTGAAGAGTTGTCACTTGACAACCTCTTTCGCATCGTTGAGCTGCGAGAAGTGATGACATGTGAAGCCCGAATATAGCTGGTTTGCTTTCAACTGAGCCAAGCAAGGGAGGCAGGAGCAAAGCAAGAGCAAAAGCAACGGCAAACACAACAGCAAAGCAATAGCAAAGGCAAAGTCAACGACTGATCATGTCTAACCAGTCAGCAGAAGGAGTTCCGAGCAACTAGCCCAAAATGCCGCCAACACTCAGGTCACAATGGAACATTCAAAACAGGTGAAGGAATCCAGACTAGTGCGGGATCTACCGACGCTAGTTTGTAGTGTGGGCCTGAGAAAGTCCAGGAAGTTCCTGGAGCTGGGGGAAGATGGACTGAGGCGCGCCGAAAAACGGCGATGAAGAAGCGGGGAACCTGTCAGGGGAGATATGTCTGGTATCTAGTATCTATGTGGGGCGTGGCGTGTGACGACAAGTAAATTGCACGGTGCTGGATGCGATGGAAAAGGATGCCTGCACAGTGCTCAGAAGTCGTGTCATGTGACCTTCGTAGCCTCACTAACTACAACGGCCGTCCATCCACCGCAAGGTCGTCGGGGGTTCGGCATTCCTGCACACGTGTCTGGGACCATCTTTCAGGCAAGTCGGTTGTGTTATTGATACATTGTCTGCTATTTTCTGTCTATCGATATACGCAAAATTGACATTCCCTGCAGCAGTCCTTGACTCCTGCATAATGACCGAGACTACCGAAGCTGAGGAGGCGATCCCAATTGAGGAGCTGACACCCGAGGAAGCGAACCGCATCATTCACTCACACCGAAAAGTGCGATATGGCAAGTAATCCCTGACGTTGTTGTTGGCCTTGATCCTACGCACGGCTGCCGTTGGGTTCAATTGTCTGCAACTCTTTTGGGACCAACCGGTGCTAATGCATCGTCCAGGAACCGCATGTTGGCCGTGCAGACAAAGAAAGGTCAAGTGTGACAACAAGCAGCCATGTGAGAATTGCGTCAAACGGGAGCATCCTCAGCTGTGCTCGTACAAACCAAACCGCTCTTCCGCCACCAGGAATGCTTCTGCGGCTCAAAATGGTCAGGCCAAGAAACGTGCTCGCTCATTCTCAGATGCCCACGAAGAAAGCCGAAAATCCGAGCGCGGCGACAGTTGGCCGCGAACTATAGGTAACCCATCTCTACCCACTACAATCATATAGCTTGCATCTAACCAAAATTAACCAGGTATATCAACAAGTCTAGATGATACAGAGTCTGTGGGGGATCGTTACCTTGGCCAGAATAGCATTCCGGCCTTACTCCGAGAGCAGTCCTCGCCAATTGAAAAGAATGTGAGCGTGGATATCCGAGGTGACATGCGGTCTATACTGGGCCTTGATACCTCCGCCCCGTTTCCTCTCATGTCGTCTCATCATCTCCATCGATTAGCCCAGGATATCTCAGCTGAGCTCCCCTCTGACCGAGAGGTCATGAAGTAGGCGGATCGACACGCCCAGTAAAAGCAATCAGTGGCTGACAACTTCTAGATTATTCCGTACATACAAAGAAATTCCTCAACCCTTCTGGGGATTCGTTTGTGATATTGATGATTTCGAATCAAAGCTCATGGTCTACCTTGAGGACCGTTCCCGCAACGCCTCGACTGCTATGAAATCTTCAAGACCAGTAGCAGCATCCTGGCTTGCCATTTTATTTGCCGTCTTGGCTGTTGGCTCTCAGTACCATGAGAGCCCATACCATATTCGCACTCGCGACTCTCAAAGATATATACAGATTTCGTTTCATTTTCTGCGATTGGGTAACTTTTTGCTGCGGTATGTTGTTCGGCGCCACATGCCCAAGTGCTCAACACTGACAACGTTACCAGTCCATCATTTGACTCCATCCAGGCCTTATTGCTTACAAGTTTTGTCCTTTTGAATGATATGAAGGCAGAAGCCTCCTGGGCATTGACCGGTCTCACATGCCGCTTGGCACAGTCGCTGGGACTTCACCGCACTTCTAGCTTGGAGGGCCGTGACAGTGTCCCGCCGGATGCCAAGGTGAAGGAGATGACGCGACGGAAGCTTTGGTGGACATGCGTTTGGCACGATACTCTGACGTCTCTTTCATTCGATAGGTATGTGTTTTCTCGGTCCTATTCTCCATGTCGCCGAGCTAACGTCCTCCGGAGAACTCCCATGACAAATTTCCCAAGCTGCGATATCCCTATTAGCTCTGACACAGCACCCGGCAAATTCACATATCTAGAGATGATGTATCATCTCATAGAGATTATTTCACGACGACTCAACCCCGACGCAATCGCGACATCAACCTACGCGCAAATTGTGGACAATTGCGAGGCAGTGGAGAACCTTCGCCGCCGTTCACTACCACATATGCAGGACAAGGAGCAGTGCAAGACGGCACTCCACCGTCTCCAATACTACGCAATCCGGCTACACACCTCCTTCGTCATCTCAGTAGCGTGTCGGCCTGCTCTCAAACGCACTTGTGATTTCGACCCTAAGCAAAAGAAGGAGCTGGCAGATAGGTGCAAAGATAACCTCACACAAACGGTCCGGATGTTTCTGGCAATGCACCAACTTTCCGTGATTCCAACTCGAACGTGGGCATTCACATACCACGGGCTGTCGTCTGCGCTCCTTCTCGGTATTCTGTGCGAGACCAAGGCGGACCCGGAAATTCGCCAGCTTCAAGGAGACCTGATTGCCGCGCTTTCGGCCACCGCCGCAAAGGAGGCCAGTTCGCCCGAGCCCCATATCGCGGTGAGCGACAAGGACATTGAGCTCTCGGGACCCTTGTGGCGGGCCCTCACTGCCCTCAAGAACATATACGAGCACGGCACGGTCATCGGCACGCTACTCAAGCGCGAAGGGGATTCATCCGGCGGCGGGAGTGGCACCAGAACGCCTCTTCCGCCATTCATGCTGAGCAGCGCCAGCGCAGCAAGCCTAGGTGCGCAGCTACGTGCCGCGCAAGCAGCAGGCGACCCTCGCGAGGACGCTGCGCTCGCCATGGCCGAGATGCAGAACGGGGCGTCGCTACAGGATTTTGCAGGGCAAGTTTCAAAACGACGGGCTCCTTTTTCCAACAGTGCATGTCTAACTGCGATGCAGGATCACTTTCCCCCAGCCGCTACCGGTGAGTATGAACCTCGACGGCCTCCCTGGCCTATCGGTCGACCAGGCACAATTGGCGCCAATGGACCTGTACGACTCCATTTGGGGTGGTGAGTATCTCCTTTGTCGAAACTTCTCTCCAATAATGACAATTTGCAGAATCCCCTGACGCGTGGAATTCAGGCGTAGACGCCATGAGCTTTGACTTTATGGCCCAGCCACCGCCGGGGCAGCCGCAACAGCAGTTTTATTTCTAGGTTGTGAATTTGGATTCGGTAGCGATATGGAGTTGTGGCAGCGATTGGGTTACGAGTTACGTCATAATTTTGAAATGAAACGGTTCACGTACGACAGACCGAAATTGTATTGTATATTGTGCAGTGTCTTCAGCTATTAGAGTAAACATATCAGTGGAGACATGTTGACTCGTAAAAACCAGCAGTCGTCAGCGCTCTCTTTGATCTTCACTGTCTTTACTACCGTTGATAGGTAAAGAGTCAGATCGAGGAGGTTACACGCCCTGCGGGCGATAAACACACCCCAACAATCAGGGCTCATCATCCGACCGTACTCCAAGCATTTGTCCATCGTTAACCTCGCTGCGATTCATTCCGGCATAACTCATAGATGTATATATACCCGGTTCACTGTCTTTTTTTCACCTTTGACTCAATGCATAGTTTACTTCTTGCGTCGGGAAGTACTCGACACAATTTTCTTCTTTAGATGCTTGGGCATCTTTTCCTTCCTCTTTTCACGCTTAGCCTCCTTGACAGCTTGCTTATGTTGCTACGAAAGAGGTCAGCACTAGGCGGCAGCAGTACGAGTTGGGAATCAACACATGATGGCATACCTTCTTTTCATCCTTGTCCTCGAACTTGCGACCGCGAGGACGACCTTTGTCGAAGAGAGCCTCATCGTCGGTTTCACTGTCGGATGGGGAGACGTCGGAGCCGGACTCATCATCTGAGCCCTCTGAGCCCTCTCCCCCCTCGTCTTGCTTTGGCTGAACCACTTGGTCTGCCAGAAGATTCTTGTAGACCAGGTCACCACCCTCTCCCTTGCTGAGCATCTGCGCATCCTTCTCAATGTCGTACACCTGCTCTAGAGTCTGCGGAATGTACTGGTTACGGAAAACTTCATTGTCGATTTCCAATGCGGCTGCCTCATCTTCGTTTGCTGCGGATTCGCGCGTCTCGTACAGCTTGTCTATCGTTTCACCCAGACCAGGTTCCTCGACAGGTCCGGTACTGACGGTGATGAAGTTGAAGATGGCTCTGTCAGAGAGTGTATCTACACCCTTGCGTCTGAAGAAGTCACCGACGTTTTTAATATCCATTCGCAGAAACTCCAGAGACCGGGGGTGATCGGGCTCCACACTCTGGGATACGTCAATGATGTAGAGAAGACCATTGTGGTACAGGATGTTGTACTCGCTAAGATCGGCGTGGACGAGCCGACACACTTGGTACATTTTGCGCATTACACCGAGAAGTTGGATGTATAGGCTTCTCCACTGCTGGTCGACATCGTCTCCAGTGAGAGTGGCATCCCGGAGTCGTGGGTACGCCCAACCCTTCTTGTCACCTAAGAAGCCCATGACAAGAACATGCAGCTTCAGTGTGATGGGTTCCGGGCAAGGGATGCCAGCGGTGTGGATTCTCCTCAAGTTTCGATACTCCTTTTCTGCCCAGAGCTTAACCATCTTGCGGTTGTTTCCCTTGTCAAAACCACCCTTGAATCTATGTTCTCCAGTAATATACCTCTCTCGGTCCTTGAAAACTAGAATGGCCGTCTTGTATACTTTGATGGCCCTGTGGACCGCATCGCCCGACTTGTCGTCGACGAGCATCGCTCCGTAGACATTGGCTTCCTTGCCAGTGCTGATTGCACCGTGGACCTCGCTGACAAAGCCGCGGTTAATCATTTGCAGCAAAATCATGCGAGTCCGTTGATCAAGCACCTGATCACTGGTGGCACGATCGGCCTTGTCCTTGTCCTTCTCATCGCTCTGCTTGACGGTATCTAGACGGATCTTGGCAGCATATTTTGACAGCGCGGAGACCTGGTCGTCCACACTGGCAAACGTGTTTGCTGTGGGCTTTTGTTGGTTCGATCGCGGGGCAGCAGCCGCTCCGTTGGTATTATCCTGCAGCTGACGCTGGCGATTATAGTTCTTTGTGAGGTCTCTTGCGTCCCCGCCCCATTCTTCCTCGTCTAGATCGTCGTCTTCAAAGATGTCGTCAAAGTCATTGTCGTCGTCTTCGTTGTATTCTTCTGGATGAGGGGCACCGCGCGGCATGCGCACTTCGGGAGGCACTTCTTGGGATGTCTCGACGTAGCCATTATTAGCGGTGTATGTGAATGGCGGCTCGTGCGGGGCAGCCGGCGAGGCTGTTGAAGTGATTGCCTCTGGCATTATTTCTGCTTTTGGCGCTGTTTGTTGTAAAAACGGGAAGGGGGTGCAGAAGGAGTAGGGGGAGGAGGAGAAGAAGAAAAAGAAGAAAAATGCTTGTTGTGATTGTGTCGTTGAGGTGATGATCGAGGCCGCTACTTTATCTTATCTAAAAATTTCGACATGAGGGACATGGAGGGCACCTTTTCGATTGACCCCGCCAAAAATTTGCCCCTCATGTGGCGGCGGCATTCATGACTGCCAACGAACAGATAAAACGGTGACTCATGAACGGGGCCATCTCAGGCCTGGCTGCATCAATTGACCTCGTGCTAGGCTTCCATGTCAACATTGAATGTTGTGCAGGCACTGGGGCGGGGGCTGGTGGTCCCTGGTGGTCCCTGGTGGTGCCTGCAGCCGCCTGCAGCTGAGCCTGACACTGAACATGGTGCCAACGCCGCCTAACCGATATTGCCGCCCAGCCCTGGCGTCCTTGGTTGTGGCCAACAGTCGCTCCTTCCCCAATGGAGCAACGAGCACCTGCCCAATTAGTGGCAGTTGGTGGAGCGCTGGTGCTGCTAGGCATTGAATGGACTATGATGATGTGCCTCTCATATCGACCAACTTCCAGTCATGATGAGCCTTGGTGTGACTTGTGACTCCTCGTCGACATAATTATCCATCGCCAACTCCACCATCATTCTGCCAACCATCATCTCCGAGCCGAATCCTGCTCCCGAGCTCTTCGGCACCATGTTCCACCTTGTGCCGCAGCCCGAGAGCGAGACGTGGTCGACACCAGCCCCGGCGGAAGGCGTCACGATCACTCGAATTGGATCAGCATCAAAACATTCGCGACTCTCAGCTCCCGGGACAATCATTTAACATCAGACACAATCTCCAAGCGTTGACTCCCTCCCCTGAACGGCATTATGGTTTGCCACGGCTGACGCCTCCTTACGCTCTCTCTGTACAAGGGAGGCTGACCTTAATTTCAATGTCTCATTACAGGGCCGCGGCATGCCCTCAATATTTGCTTTTTCCCCTGTTTAGTAGCCCATGAGGGAATGTGTCGCAGTCACTTGAGGAACGTTCTTGCATTAGTGCATAGCTCAGGGAGACTCTACAAGATATGTTCTCCCTGGGGAGTAGCATAACACACGTTCCAACTAGCTCAACTTCAATTAATATGCCACGCCTTTGAGACTCATGGTATTCTCCGCGGTGAGACTGATCCGCAAACCTTAAGTTCTTAGATGATATTAATAGGCAATGGCCACTTGGTTTGCTTTCCAGTGACGAAAGAATTGGACTTTATTCGCCGTGTAAAGAGTTGCAAGTCTTGGGAGCTCCTGTTGCCATCTAGTCGCCTTTCCACAACTCAAGTGACGACAACAGTGCAAGTCGTATTCAGTCGGCATAATCACCATGAAGGCAACAATTGCGGCTATTGCTTTGGCTATTCTGGCAGACGGGGCTGTCGCTCGTGAAAGGGTTGACACGGCGCCACAAGCACCAGCTCCAAGGACCAACGGCAGGTCGTTCACACTGAATCAAGTTCAGAACAAGGACTTCCAAGGTCACGATGGACCTATGTCCTTCTTGCGCGCTCATTTCAAGTATGCCAAGAAACTGCCAGACTATCTGTCCAAGTTGGTAGAAATCGATCCAAACTTTCGCATCAAGTTTGGTCTGGGTTCCCAAGGTAAATGTTATCCACGAGTGGCGCTGCGGCAGGCCTCGGGTTTTTACTAACGAGCATCATAGCAGATGGGCAAATAGGAACTGTTCTAGCAGACCCTACGCCGCTTGTAGACACACAATATGCCATCGAAATCGGCATCGGTACACCGCCGCAGCATATTCGGTTGAACCTGGACACCGGGTCTTCTGACTTGTAAGCGCACTACTCTTATCACCGCCGTCACCATACCTGATATCTGACACCAGAAACAGTTGGGTATTTTCAACCGATACAAACCCAAGCATGGTGGACCGTCAAGTGCTTTATGACGCCGACAAGTCAATGACAAGCCATTTCTTAGCCGGGGAATCGTGGAAAATCAAGTACGGCGATAATGCCTCGGCCAGTGGCTATGTCTACACCGATCGAGTGCAGATTGGGGAAACATTTGTCGATACCCAGGCTGTTCAAGTTGCCGTGAATCTGACAAAGGATCTCTCAAGCGACAACTTTGTGTCTGGAATCTTGGGAATGGCCAATAGCGCTGCCAATACCGTCCGCCCTACGCCCCAGCGAACCTACATCCACAACATCAAAGACAACCTAGCTGAGCCGCTATTCACAGCAAACTTGCAGCGTCAGGCTCCCGGCAGTTACAACTTTGGATATATTGACGACTCTCAATATAAGGGGAGCATTACGTACACGCCAGTCGAGCCTTCGTTTCCCCTCTGGATGGTCTCCACCACGGGATACAGAATTGCCAAGACTTCTCACAATGAACAAATCAAATCCATTGTCGACACTGGCACTTCGCTGTTGCTGCTCCCTGAGACTGTTGTTTCCAGTTACTACGCAAAGGTTAAAGGGTCTAGCGTCCATCCTCAGCTGGGCATGAGGCTCGTCCCCTGCAATGCCGACTTGCCCGACTTCTATCTCACCATCGGCTCATATCGGGGTCGAGTACCTGGCAGTTATATGAACTACGGGCGGATCAGCGGCAACAGCTGCTTTGGAGGCATGCAATCATCAGGTGATTTGCCGTTTTCGGTCCTAGGAGATGTTTTCCTCAAGGCTCAGTTTGTGGTGTTTGACTATGGGAACGCACGTGTTGGTTTTGCAAACAAGCAGCTGTATGAATAAACGACACTTGATTCGGAGTGTATGATGTGCGGGTGATTTAGACTATGGGTTTATTTGGATAGATTATTAATGAGGCGCAAAGAGGGTTGGGAGATGATGCGGTTATATTCTGCCACAGTCGTCAGGAGTTACGCTGCATCATAATTTCGCTCGCAATATCCAAATGTTTTGCAAGCCCACGCGGAGGGCTTCGCAATGGTACCATGACTTTTACGCACACTTGTTTCCCATCCGAGACATAATACAGTTGGGCATCACACAAGTCTCCGAAAATGGGACTCGGCACCCGGAAGCCCGCAACGCGCCGGCAAGCCAATATCTCGGGTGGTCCCGTGGCCAAGGTCCAACCATGAAAATATGTGCTACTAGGCAGTCAATCTGAGAAATCAAGGAACATTGAAATAGAACGATCTCGAGGGCCCTTTTGCCCAACATGGGCGGGGGCCCAAAATGTCATACCACCAGTCTCACCACTTCTCGCCGCCCGTCTTGGCTCCGTGGCGGGGTCTCATCTTCGACGGCCACCACAAATGCACCGACATTAAGTTTAAAAGGCGATCAATGATGGCCTTCACCCAAAAGCCACCAACTCCGCCGGTGCAATTACCACTTGGCCAGCGTCCGCGGAAAACCAAGATACCCAAAGCAAAAATACATGTGCGCACATGGGCACGCTACTAGCACCGGCTCATACGTCACACCCGCCGCCCAGCTCAACACGTAAAAAGAGACGCACCAGTCGCGGCCAGGAAGATGCAACTCTCGCAAGCCAACCTCGCCGCCCTCAACCGTCTACACCAACAGGGCCAAGCAACAGCCCCAACCATGGACAGCGTGCTCGTCATCGGCGCGGGCGAGCTCGGTCTCTGCGTGCTCCAGGCCCTCGCCGCCCACCCCAAGCGGCACCACGTCAAGGTATCAGTGCTCATGAGACAGGCCACGCTGGACTCGGCCGCGCCCGCCAAGAAGCGAACCGTCCAGAGGATCAAGAACCTCAACGTCCACTTCGAGTCCGCAGACGTGGTGCTAGCCGGCGTGCAGGAGCTGGCGGGCATCTTCACCAACTACCACACCGTGGTGTCCTGCTCGGGGATGGAGCTGCCGGGCGGCACGCAGACGAAGCTGGCCGAGGCGGCGCTGCGGGCCAGAGTGCGGCGGTACTTGCCCTGGCAGTACGGGATGCGGTACGACGTCATCGGGGAGGGCAGCTCGCAGGACCTGTTTGACGAGCAGCTCCTCGTGCGGCGGATGCTGCGGGCGCAGAGCGAGACGCAGTGGGTGATTGTCTCGACGGGCCTGTTTATGAGCTTCCTGTTTGCCGAGGACTTTAGCGTCGTCGACCTGCGGCGCGGCGTCGCCCGGGCCCTGGGGAGCTGGGACAACAGGATCACGGTGACGGCGGCGCCGGACATAGGGCGGGTGGCGGCCGAGGTGGTGCTCGACCCGAGGGGCGTTGGCAACGAGGTTGTTCTCACGGCTGGCGATACCGTGTCCTACGGGGAGCTGGCGGACCTGCTGGACGAGCACTTTGGCACCAGGTTCGCGAGGGAGCTGTGGGACGCGGACACGCTGAGGGGGCAGATGGCCGAGGACCCGAGTGCCGTGGTCAAGTATAGGGATGTCTTTGCCCGGGGGAGGGGTGTGTCGTGGGACAAGGACAGGACGTTGAACTTTGAGAGGGGGATGGAGCTGCTGGACGTGAAGGGGTATTTGGACAGCGTGAATTTCAAGGTTGGCGAGGCGTGGCCGTCAAACTGACTGGAGGCATCGCGGTACGGAATTTGTTGCGCTGGACGCTTTGGACGACGAAATGCCGGCGTGGATATATGTAATGATAATGTAAATCTCAATACTGTACCTTGAACTGCTCGCTTCCTCGTGTCCGCTTGCTTCAGTCTATGAGTGGGATGTATTTACCAGTCTCAGAGTTACATAATTATTCCATGTACTTGAGTATAATACAGCATGGTACATCGAGCAGCAGCAGGTGTTCTTTCTGGCCAACTACTCTTTTTCTCGGGCTGTTTACGGCCCTTCCGAGGTTTGTGGCCAACAATCCAGGCTGGGAGTGCCCAAATTCCTCGCCAGTCCTCGCTCGGGCAAAAGACTTTTCTGAAGTACTGGCCAAAACTGACCCCCGAGGTATACAATGAGGCGTACGAGGAAGTATCGATGCAACTACCACCCCACTGCTTTCTTGTTTTTCTTCTGCATCAACTCACAGCAAATCGTTATCCGCACAGGATCTCCATATGCGTCAGAAATAAGAGCATTATAATAAGCGACAACCTGGATGTGTCCACTAGCTCCTATGCACTTGTCGAAACCAAGCCTCGTAAGGACTCTGGTCTCAATTCGTGACGGTCGGGGCCCAAAACACAACCTTCGAACATTGAAGCATGTCTGGTATCAGGCATTCAAGCCAAACCCGTCACCAGCGGCGAGTTTCCCCGGATCGCCAGTCAGAGTAGGGCTCGGTACCGCCTTGGGCACAGAGGATAGCAGTGCCTCATCCAGCCGAGACGCATTTGTGGCTGCCAGCAGGTCCGCGGGACTTTCGGAGGCATCGTAGAGTCAGCCGCGCTTGGCAGTGTCGTGGGAACAACTCAAAACTTGTCCGCAGCTTGGGTTCTCGGAGGAATTTCCAGCGGTTGCTGACTGACGCGGCGTGTCCCATTGGGACAATAGTAATGGCCGCATTAGTCATTCCCCCTTGCATTTCCGTGCTGGAAGCCTTGCTGTTGATAATATCCGCGGTACTGTATCATCTCGAGGCAATCACGGTGCGTCATTTTGGCCCCTTGCCATGCATGAGTGTAAAGAAAAGAACAGGCCCCTCGTGTCGAGCTGCACCGGATACATATTCACTCGCCCTTTCTGGAGCATGGACGAAAGCGGGATAGTGCAGGATGGTGACGGACGATAGACGAGAGCACCGTCATCAAGAGGCTTGGACCAAAACGACAGAACTCCAAGTTGTACCCACTGACCTCTTTGTGCAATTACTAAGGGATCTTGGGGCTAAGAGTCATTGCTTTGTTGCGTCTGGTCAATCTATCGATGTCCCAGCCTCTGGCTCTAGCTCTCTCAGGCTATAGTGTAGGCTCGGGCCATAAAGCTAGAAATACCACCATCACCTATCATTCACACTAGAGGGGGATGAACATCCGGCCCAGTCATCCCTCCTGCCATATATTAGGTACCTAGGCATGTAATATGTCGATTAGTCACGTTAGGAATACCCATCCCTTCGCATTGACGGTTTCACGCACTGGTGATGGGTCCCAGGTTTGCCCAGCTTGGGCCTCATGCGGTGGAGGGCGGATGGACAGAGTGTCGCCCCGATAAGACTCGAAGCTGAATGCATTCCTGCCGATGCGATTTGACTGTCAGCCTTGCGGCCTGGGGAGCCTGGGGATGGACTTGTCGAGACTCTTGGAGAGGTGGCGAGGTCTGGTCGGAGGAGTAACTGGACAAACCAATATTTGGACATGGAAGGATTGGCGCCAGGCCAGCACGTCACCACATCAGTGACTGATAAGACCAGTCTGGCCCATGTCTGGTCTGGTCAATGGGTCAAGTGTCCTTCCAGGTCCATGTCGTTTCCCCCGCCAGATGCCGTCTCAAGTGCTGGCGCTGGCACCTGGGTGCCTCGCCAGCCAACAGGCACTGAACCCAGCCTGTTCCAGGTGACATCACGCCCGGCAGCAGAGGACGTGCCAAAGGGCGGGGTCCAAGCTGGGACCGATTGGACCAATGGGGCGCCGCAGCAGCTGCGCAAGTGGGTCTACTGTTCGGCCTGTGACATGTGCACTCCGAGTGGCTGACGCATGAAGCGGCTCATCGACAATCGGCACCGTTCCAAGTTGTAGGGTGCATGGCGAGACGTCCCATGACTCACACGTCACTCGTGTCTAAATGGCGTTCAGTGTTGACATCGCTGAATGGGATGCCCAGGCAAGGCGCAGCCCAGATGACTCCATCGCTGGCCAATCACAGCATCGGCTGTGAGGCAAGCACCCAGCTCGATATAAGTCGTTGTCGCCACGGCTACCATGTCATCGGCCATTATCAGTCTCTCAAGGTCCATCGGCTTCCACTCGGCTCTTGCGACCTCTATCCCTAGACAGATACTCGCCCTTGACGAAAGAAAGCACGGCCGTTTCGGAAAACAGAAGGCGGGGTGTTGTGTTCCTGGAACTTCTACTTTGACATCTTGACAACCACAACGCCCTGGCGTTGACAAGCTACATCCAACCACCACTTTCCCAGGACAAAGAAGAACGGCGTCAAGTTTTACCCAACACGCTGTCAATAACGTCTGGCACGGGAACAATTCTTGATACATTTATAAAAATTGACAACGTCCCCCGCTACGGAATGAGTCCAATCCCCGACAGCCTCTCCGGAGAGGATGGCCTCCATCTAGCACAGAGGCGACAGCATCATCGCCGTGGTGTCAAGCCGCAGTATCGTTCTCTCAACCGTCTGGTGCGTGCTGGCGCAAAGCATCTTGTCGAAAGTGGCCAAACCGACATCTTCCCCGACTGTCACCAAGATCACAGCCAGCTTGATAAAGCCAGTTTGCGATCCCACATCCAGCAAGACATACGTCAATACTACTTCAACATTGGCAAGTCAGCCTATCGAGGAGACCAGATTCCTAATTACAATGGCCCTACACCTCGCAAACTAGACGGCCAGGACGACGGTCGAGATCTTGCATACAGCGACATTGAACTGCCTTCAGACCGAAGCCGCCTTGTTCGAAGACCAACCCTCGAGAGAGAGGATGCTTTCTGGTATGCATCTACGTCCAAGATCCATATCCGCCGGCGCGTCGAAACCGCCAACGAAGACCAGCAGGTCGCCGACCTCTACCGCATGGGGCTGCTCTACGACAATGACGAGCAGGATCGCAGCGGCGGCGACAGCTTCAACTTGAACAGCATCAGGCACGATGAGCCCCTCTACCCAATCCGCCCGGCCAGGCGGACGCGAAAGCACAAGGCCGCCAAGGATGGTTTCGCAGACCAGGCCTTGCACCTCAATCTGTCCTTTTCCGACCTGGGCGACGACGACGTTCTTGCCCAGTATCTCATGGCGTGGACTCGGCCGCATGCCGACGAGGCGATTCAACATGCGCCCCAGGAGCTGGCCGAGTCGCAGCCCCCCCTGCGTGTTATTTACGAACTTGCGACTTCACAGCCTTCTTTCGATCTCGACACGTCGCAACCCCCGGAGTTGGTGTTGGACGCTCTGTCAGACTACGACTGCTTCTCGGACGGCGAGCTAGACGACACACCTTCCCAGCGGGAGGTGCAGGAGCATGCGGACAATCCGCCTGCAGATTCTTGGGTCATGCTGGGCGACGACTCGTAGCAGGTCCGCCGATGGGATCCCCCCGTGTGCCGCTGGGATTTCGGCAACAGTACATATATTGTATGGAGAGATTTATAGCGATATAAGCTCTTGGTGGGAACGACTCACCTCGGACTGGTCCTCAAAAACCTAATATGACTATGTTTGTTGGAGGATAAATTCTGCTTTGGAACGACAAGAGAGTCTGGTATTCTTTTTTTATTTTTCACTTCTACGGGGATGGGTTTAGATGGAAATGTAATCTTGCTTGGCGACTGTATTACCACAAGTTGCATCGGGTGCTTGCTGCTGCAGAAGCAAGCGTGTCATGAGCATGATTCTTCTTACTTGTATACTAGCCTGGTCTGCGTGTACGAGTTGGCCCGTCTGAAGGAAAGAACTTTACACATAGAGTGCGGCGTTCGCTCTTGGTCCAAATTAGTCCTCATAATGCATGCATTTGCTACATTGATTTTTCCTTTATGCGCGAGTGATTGATGCGGCGAATCCCGAAAAGGAACAAACGTCCCAGCATGTGTCTGATTGTGTGCTGGATCTGGGCTAAGATCATCCAATGGTTGTTAGTAGAGTGAGACCTTTGTCTCTCAGCACACGCGCCAAGTCTATCGTTTGCTAGGGCTGAGATGAGAGCGCGTTCAATACCCAAGTAGAAATGGACGCGTGCTGGAAAAGAAATCTGCTTCTAGTGTAGGGTACTTGCTCGCAAAACGTCTGACCTGTCCCTGCTGCACTCCATACCATTCTATTTCAAGCCGTCGAACTTATTTCACGCAAGGGGTCTGGTGTTAGGAACGATTAGTAAGTGGCTTCAGCGGATGAGCTGTTTCAACGGCGGATCTGGTCCATCGAAGAGCTGCAAATGACCATGTTGATGTCCAATTAAAAGCACAGCGTTGTTGACGGGTCGGCGAAGTTGGAACAAATACCCCCTCTGAGAGCGATGGCTATAGAAATAATATTTAGACCAGACGTCTTTATATGGTCCCTGTTGGGTGGCAATACCGCCGTGACATGCCGAAATGACATGTTCCGTGTAGGATGAACGCCGTCAAGACTCTCTTGCCCTTGTCGTTGGTCTTGCTGGGTATTCACAAGTTGTAAAAGCTGTGACAAGAACCCGTCACTGAGGGAAGGTATGAATGTCAGGAATATAAACTATTGACTAGACGTATCCGGGCCCGTGGCGCCACATGAAGGGGAAATCATCATTGGACCCATTGGCGAGAATTCACGTGCTTTTTTCTGTATTTTCACATACGACTCGAGTCTCGCCGTATTTTCGCAACTGTCATCTCTTTATACGAATGTAACAAATAAAACTTGTACACTGGCATTTCTGTGCCGAGTCATGATATCTCTCAGAGACGTCACGTACTCCCAGGACACCAGGGTGGCGGCCGTACGTGACTACATATTTCTAACCCAGATGTATCTTGATGAAAAACTCATCAAGGAACCACCCAAAGGTGGCTGACTATCTATTACTCCCGAGAGCATGCGTGGACTGGGCTAGATGGATCAAGTCATATCGCTACTTCGCCATCTGCCCGCCCTGTTGTATGTTTGCCGACCGGAAAGCTCAACAAAGCACTGGACACTAGTAGTCTCGCATACATTTTCTCCCGGACTCGCTTATTCGTAACAAAGTTTAGAGGGAATGTCTTTGCTAATATGGCATGCGTCACTGGCGAATGGCAGATCGTGTGGCAATGACGATTCACCGGCGCTTCTGCTTCCTCTGGTCAGTCGACTGATGAAGAGTACTGATGAGGATGGAAACATATTCAACGCATGAAGAAGTGCGACTCGCAATTCTCCACTAATAAAGTGAAACAGTAGCCATTGCGATGCCCACCGCCGAGGTCTTATGTCTTCGGGGAGTGGTGATGGGGTCACCGAGGGAAGGGACATTTGGATTCTTCTAACAAACCCCGACGCACTAGGCTGAATATAGCGTTGTACACTTTTAAATTACTCTACATATGTACCTATTTTAAATAGGACCAGACACTCGGGACATGGACTGCTTGCCGTCGCCGGCGGGCTGCACTTGTGTAGTCGATGGCTAGGACAATGAGAGAGGCCCAAAGGTCAAGTCGCGCCCTTCCACAAGGCTAAATACATGTCTCATGGTTGCAAATCAGGCCATCTTGGGACATACGATGGGCGTCCCGGCTTAAGCACACACCTCAGTGCTCGCTTATAATTTGCCCCGGTAGCCCGGGCTTTGTATGTTTCCAGATTCCGTATATCACCGATGCTGCACCTCCCAGGGACTCAAGGACAGTCAAAACAAATCTGGATTGAATACGAGCGATATAGACTATACGGACAGACGAGTAACTGTTCCAAATCGGCCAACCTTGCCAGGCCTGCTCTGGGCGCGGAACATGGATAGTTTCGCTTCCTACCAATGCCTCTCCGATATTTCGACGCTATTCACGTCGACACCATCCTTGTACCATCGCTCCTCCTCGGCAATCTTGACATCGTTTCCACTCATCTGGCGCTTCCTCATCAAGCCATTGTCGGCAAACGTCCAGTCCTCGAGTCCGTAGGTGCGCCACCACTGGCCCGACTCATCGTGCCACTCGTACCAAAACTGCACGGCGATCTTGTCGTCGGTGAAGGCAAACAGCTCCTTGCGCAGGCGATATCCCTGCTCCTTGTCCCACTTCTTGGAGAGGAATTCCCTGATGGCATCGCGGCCGACGAGAAACTGGTCGCGGTTGCGCCAGATCGAGTCGGGCGTGTACGCCATCTTGATGACATCAGGATCCCTTTTGGCCCTTAGTTTTTATCTTCTCCGCAGACTTGATAGACCCGGGTCCATGTACCACACGGCCACTTACTTTGTGTTCCAGGCATCCTGTGCTGCCTTGACCTTGATCCTGGCCGTCTCGGCGGTAAACGGGGGATAGGGCGGCTTGCCTTGTTGGCTCATCTTGACCTTGCTGCGAAGGGAGTTTGTGCTTTGGCGAGAATTACAGATGGGAATCAGGGTATTTAGAGAGCGATTTGTCGCAGAGGATGGCGCATGACGCTGCTTATATACCTTGCAGTGTGCACCACTGCCACTATAGTGACTATACTGCCTGTCGGTGTTTGACGGCGTTTGACACAAGGGCGTGATGTCGTGTCGGGCTCTGGATCTAGATCAAGAGTCAACCATGCCCGTGACGATGATGAGGGAATTAAGTTTGGAGGCCGAGTGTGCCAGTGAGGGGCACATGTGCCTCCATGTCATGTCAATTGATCTCACTCACCGGACTTGTCAACCTCTCACCTCTCACCTCTCGCCACCGCCATGTTTCCCGTTGCCAGCGCGGGCCTTGTTGCTGAACCCTGAATCATTGTTTCTACCAAAAACCGATGCCCTGGTCGACCCGGAACTCACCAGGCAGCCAAGGTTGTCGCTCAATACGCCGCCCTCGGCCAAGAATTTCCCCATCACGGTCAATTGACCCCCCTCGCCGCCTCCCCTCGCCGACGCGCCCTGCAGACACACATCGAGGCCAGCGTCAACTTCACCGTGTCACCTTCGTAGCCGGACAGATCACAGGAGCGAGGGGGGCTTCCTCGCCCTGCAAACAGACAAGGTTCTCCAACGGGCAAAGGCGACTAGGCGAGCACCGAAGACACTTTCCGACAACAAGGACAGCCACGTCGTCTGTGTTTCACACAGCGGCCACGTCCAACACTGCCAGACGATCACGAGGGCGCCTCCCTTCACCTCCGCGTGTCCCATTGTCGTGATCCGGGGCAAACCTGGGATTCACCCCCATCGTCCGGCCGGTTCAACGGCAAACCGCAACCATTGCTCGCACTTGACCACCTAGTCAACGACGTCTCGGGCTCGCACGACGTGGCAGCCGCGCGAAACAGACGAGACCCGGCGACGCACAAGGCAAAGCCAGACCCGGCCAACGGACGAGGGAGCGCGCCACGTGGACAGGGCAAAAATTCAGAGACTTTGCGCCTCGTACGGGATTCAGAGGCCCTTGAGCTTGCGACGAGGGCACGAGTCGTAAAGGCACGGCAACGTGTTTTGTCCACGGGCACTCATCTATCTGAGACCAAAAGGTCAAAGCACGCGAGTCCCAAGTGAGTCAAGGAATGAAACAGCCTCATCTGCTCCCGTACCAAGTTCAACACGCGCCTACTCCGTTCCCCCAAATTGATGCTTACAATGGAAATACGTCCTGGAAAGACTCGTCACACGAAAAATGAAAGTTAGATTTTTTTTATCAAGGCCGCCTCACCGGTCCCGGCATGCACGTCACGCTCGGCAATCGCAGCATCCCCATTACAAACCCTTGCGCGACGATGTAGCCGGTGCCGAAATACCCATCGCTGTGTGACCGCGGAAAAAAAAAACACCAATTTCAATAGAATCCCGAGCGCAGGTCGTACATACATGGCACAGACACATGCTTGCTTCTTTACGACCGCGCCGTCTGATAGTCCGTGGGCCGGCGTGACAAACCACACAATCAAGTGGCCGTTGCGGCTGCATGTCTCAAGCAAGTTTCTTCTTTCGGCAAGCAAGGTGGTTTTTGGCGGTCCATGTCTCGCCTCTCAAAAGCAATCCAGGCGGGACATGGTGTCATTCATCTGCAATTGCTTTGTTTGAGTAGGATTTTTCTCTCAACCCGACCCGTGTGGCGCTCAGCAGCAGTGAGCAGCCTGCCAAGGGATGAGATGTCCCAGCACTTCAAGGGGTGTCAAGAGCCATGAGTATTGATTTCAATTTTTTTTTTTTGCAAGTCAATTCTATGTGCTAGTTGAAGAAAGAATTACACTGTAGGAGACTGAGACTGTTGTAAATACCGCTCGAAACTTTGTACGAGAAGCGCAAAAGAACCGCCGCAAATGTCATGTCTAGACACTGGCCTTGATAAAGTCGGTAATGGCCCTATACACATCCGGCGCATTGTAGTTGTAATTCAAGCCGTGGCCGGCGTTGGGCACCACCGTGGCCTGGAAGGCAGATGCCTTTTTGAAGCTGTCTCTGGAGTACTCGACCAGGTTGGGCGCGGAGCCGTTGATAGCCATGGTGTTCATGCAGTTGCCGCCGCAAAAGGGGATGTCGCGATCTGCCAAACGTGTCAGCTGCTGAAGTGTACAGGGGACATAGCCTATCGACACTTACCACCGGTGATGATCATGACGGGGCCGGGAAACTCGCTCGACTTGGGCACGGAGCCGACGGTCAGCAGCTCTCCCACGGCGGCGGGCTGGCCTGTCTGGGTAGCCACCCTGAGCACCTCGGGGTCAAAGTCGCCCGGGCCAAAGAAGTTGATGTGGACGCCGATGCTGTCCCTGGGCGCGACGTAGCCGGCGGCGTAGTGCCCGGCGAGGAGGTGGTTGTCGGCGACGGGGGCAAAGTTTGCGCCGAGCACAAAGTAGGCCAGGAACTGGGGCACCTGGCTGAAGCCGGTGAGGACGATGGCGTCGGTGATGTCGGGGTGCAGGGCCGTGAGGGCGTAGGTCATGGCCGAGCCGAACGAGTGTCCCAGGTGGACGAACTTGTTGAACTTGTGCGCGACGCCGCGCAGCTGTCCGCCGCGCGCCGTGTCCGTCAGGGCCTTGAGGGCGGCGATTTCGAGAAAGATTTGAATCTCGTTGACGGGGTCGTCGCCGTGGGAGGAGTGGCCGATGCCCAGGCGGTCCCAGGTGAGGGTTGAGTAGCCGGCGTCGAGGGCCCGGTTCACGTAGCTGTAGTTGTAGTTGGCAAAGGAAAAGTCCCAGTAGCTGCGGTCGAAGCCAACGCCGTGCGTGAGGATCTGGAGCGCGTGGCCGGGGCCGTTGTCGGGCTCGCAATACGTGGCGGCGAGCGTGTAGTTTCCAGACACCGTCTTGTACTGTACCGGACATTGGTTAGTGATGGCGACGGGCGTTGGGCACTTGACTTGAACTCACTCCTTTCAGTAGGTTGGCGGTGCCGTTGTTTCCAGGCCACGCCATTCTCAAGAACAAGTTGGTGACGTCGATATCGGTGGAAGGGGGGGCCATGTCGAAAACACCATTGCGCGAGCTGATGGAGACTGGGACTGTGATATTCTGGCACTGACGGGCCGAAGCCACGGCGGCCAGTATCAAGATCAGTCCCGGCTTCAACATGGTTGTGTGATGTGTATGTGTACTGGGTGAATTTTTTCCAGACGACGGCTCTGAGTCTCAGTACGGAGTGGGAGCTGACTCAAAAAACAAGAAAAAAAATAAATATGCCAATGGTACTGGAGAACTGGAAAGGGGGATGAGATCTGGGACAAGGGTGTGAATCAAGCTGCAGACACGGTCTTCATATATACTACTAGTAAACGATGGTCGTGGCTGCCGTGACTTGGATCTGATATAGTCGTCATAGAGTCATGCCGGGTCTGCTGGGGCCATGAAGAGTCAACCGTTCGTCCTGTTGCCATCATCTACACCAAGTGGACACGACGACAAACGCCGAACCACGCTTGGCAGCAGAAAAGTGCGACCCAACATGCACCTGGGCGTCGTGTGGTTTGCACCTTCTTGCGATGTCTACGACACGAGACTCCACAACAACTTGGGGCTTGTCAACGACGGGAAGAGGACACCCGGCTGAGAAGGCTCCGAGAAGCTAGACGCTCTACTCGGCAGGTATAATGGAATCGAGAAGAGAGCTTCGGCAAGGAAAGTCTTGGCTTGGCCCTGTCGAAACGGGGCCAGCAAGGTGTCTGCCCGCCAGCCAGAACATCCGCCTGGGTACCAAGTTCTTGTTCGTGAAGAGCTCTGTGCAGTCAGTCCCCTGCGGCCCCCCTGTCGAGTTGAACGGGAGATTGCTGCAGTCTGCAGTCTGCGCGACGAAAAGGTCTGTGTGTTGCGTTGGCACTTTGATACTCGGTAGTTACTAGAGTAATACAAACAGTATACTGCCCCGTCATCTGATCACTATGCTGCGTGGGCCGACTTGCTATGGAGATGTCATAAATTCATAATGACAAATGCAAGCTGGCCCATAGCTATCGGGAGAAACTGCAGGTTGGATATCGGCATGTACCCGGCAGATCGCGATCAGAGCCAACAGCCGTGGATGCCGGACGACAAGGTGGAGAGCAGGCGAGGCCTCGGATCCGTCAAGTCGGGCCCAAAGCTGGGGAAGGCGCTCGAGTTATGGGCTAAAACAAAAAATTGCAAAATGGGGGTTGCGCCTGGTTGTAAACAACATTGAAGGTCCCGTTTTGCCGCAAGCGCCTTGCGCCGTCACGCCAACGGCCCATGAGCTCCGCGAGTCCATCATCTATCCGTCTGGTACAATCTTAGAACCTGTGCTTGAACTTCCACAGTTGCCAGCCTTGCAATTTGCGTTGCAGGACCCTCGGACGAATATTTGACGAACCCAGCAGGTGGCGGTTGGACAAGGGATTGGGGAACCAGGGTCCTGCGCGCTCCGAGCGCTGTGGTCAACAGACTGCATTAGTTTTGTCTCACTTGGTCGAATTGCGGCATTGTCGAGATCAAGATCTGCACTTCATCTTCATCGTCCAGGCCTGCGCGGCGGCCCAGAGCAAAGCTTGAAAGCGCGACTGCACAGCTGCTTCGCAGTTGGTCTTTGCTTCGGGGACGGCGCACGCACGGGTCAAAGCTTGGAGGTGCGCTAATTAATTCCAAATCTTATCGTCGTCGTCGTGCCTTGGATGGCTAACGACTCCAACGAGGCTGCTCCGCGACGCTGGTGACGGTGTCGTTGTTGCCGGGCTCCCGCAAAACAGAATACCGGCCTGGAGATGACAAAACAAAGCTAGAGCTGTTGGATACAGGACATCATAGAAGCGCGACTATGGCTTCATCCGGCTTGGTGCTGGCGTGAATGGGTAGAGCGGTACTGATTCCTCTGCCGTTGGCATGTTGACGCCACCAGACACGGCATTGCACAGTCTAGTGCAATACAGAGCTTGGCGGGCAACATGG